CCTCCTCCTCCTCCTCCTCCTCCTCCTTTTCCTCCCCCTTCTCCTCCCAGAGGAACAGCCAGAGCCCCTTTCGAGCCCAAAGCGGTCCTTCTGTCGGCGTCTTGACTGCATGGGGCCCCAGGGGCGAGCGGCATCGAGCGGCGAGGGCTCGGCACTGGATCTGTTTCCCATGCTCGGGGGCGGGCGCCCAGGGGGGGAACCCTTCGCAGCAGGCAGAGGTCAAGGGGCCCAAGGACACACACACACACATAAACACACACAAGATAAATGATCCCCCACATTTTCCCATAGTGTCTGGGTTTTTTGTTTTCCCCCCCACTTCCCATATTCTCCCATATTTTTCCTGGGAGTCGACGACTGATTGTGTCTGTGTGTTTTTTTCCCTCCTGAAGAGGGTCCTCCTAGAAGGCAAGGGCCTTCTCAAAAGCCCCAGAGGATTCTGCGACGGCTCCTCAGACGCCGGGCAGGCTTCTCGCAAAGCCGTCGGGCTTCTGGGCGGGCTTCTGGGACCCCGAGGGGCGCGGCCCCAAAAATGAGGAGAGCGACGAAAAGATACGGGTCTTGCGCGAGATGGCACGGGGACCTTCTGGGATGGCCTGCGCGGGCCGTCAGCGCAGCGTGCCGCGCGGAGAGGAGAGCGCTGTCGTGGGACCCTACGCGGGAAGCTGACGCGACAATGTCGACGTAGTCGACTCCGTTGTCTTGAAGCGCCCAGGTGGCCTCGAACGACGAGGGTTCAACTCGGGCTCCCTTTCCGGTTCAACCGGAGAAAAACTCTGCACATACAGAAACTCGCCGAGGTCCGCGCGGATTTTGCGGATCTGTGCGGGGCGCCCCCTCCCTGGCAGCGCGGAGCGCGCCTAGTGCGTCGCCAGAGGCGCCGCCAGAGGGGCCGAGCGCCGATCCGAGAAATCCGAGGGGATCTCCGAACAGCTTGAATCACCTCTTGTGCCGCGTTCACCCTGAAGAGCTGCTAAGATCCGTACGTTTATGCCGCGTTACTCTGATGAGCTTGCCTATCAGGGTCGATACGTTTTGTCTCAGAAGCTGATAGGTGCGTCTCTGGATCCAGAATCGGCCGTGCGACGTTGCCTCCCGCTGCCTCCCGTGAGCTCACATTGCCGTCCCTATCTCTAACCCGATGCTTCTCTCAATCCCTAGATGCACACCCTTACATCTATGTGTATATACATATATGTTTACATACCTCGATCCTGCATCCCTATCAATACTCTATACTCATTCCCATCCCGATCCCTATCCATATCCCCAGCACCAAAACCCTAACCCAATATCCATGGAATTAAACTGTCCCTTTATCCCTATCCGGAGCCCCGTATCGTGGCCCCACTCGCAACTGCGTGAAGCTGTTTAGAAGTCTTCTGTCGCAAGGGTGCCCTGCTCTCTTCTTCAAGAAATGCGGGGCCCTGATGGACTGGGGCCCCAAAAACAAGCGGCCTCGAACGGTGAGGGTTCAGCCCGGAATCCCTGATCAAGTTCCAGGCAGGGCTCGAGCTAAACAGTGTTTAACGCCCTCGTCTTGTTCTCGGGCTCCTTCGTCCCATCTTCGTCCTGCCTTTGCTGCGGAAGCGACCTCAAAACGAAAACTGCCAACGAAATCGCAAAAGCACCGCTTAGCTCGGGCCCTGTCCTCAGGCCCCTCTTTCTGGGACCCCGGAGGCCTCAGCCGCCCGAAGCCCCCCGTGCACAGCCCGAACCCCAAAACCGTGCGGCCACCCTGAAACCCTGCCGACCCACCAACAACTCTTGGCGGCTAGCGCGGGGGGGGAAAGCGAGAAAGAAAATCAGGTGGCCCAGGAAATCCCAGGATTCCCCATCTTTCCCATTTTGTCTGGGTTCTCGTCTCCCCCCAACCTCCTATAGATTCCCATACTTTCTGGGGAACCGACGATTCATGGTGTCGGTGTGTCCGTTTCCCCTTGGGAGGGAAGGCCTGCTCACAAGGCGGCGGGGATTCTCCGAAGCCCTCGCGCCTTCTCAGAAGATGTTCTGCGACTTCGGAAGGGGGGGTTCCGAAGACTGCTAAGAAGGCCGGGGGACCTCCAAGCCTTCTGAGAAGGCACGCCCCTCCCCCTCCTCCTCCTCCTCCTCCTCCTCTTCCTCCTCCTCCTCCTCCGCCTCCTCCTCATTTTTCCTCACTCCTCCTCCTCCTCCGTCCTCCCTCCTCCCTCCTCCTCCTGCTCCTCCTCCTCCTCCTCCTCCTCCTTTTCCTCCTCCTCCTCCTCCTCCTCCTCCTCCTCCTCCTCCTCCTCCTCCTCCTCATCATCATATCCCTCCGGGTGCCTTTGCCCTACCTGCTTTTAAAAACAGCGCGCCGCGCTGTCAAAGCCTTGGGAAGCCTCCGGGCCGCAGGGGGCCGGGGCGCGCAGCGGGAAAAGGGCCAGTGGACCATAAGACCTGACCAGAGCTAACTAGATCGGCTGCGAGCACCCAGGGAACCACCGACACCAAAACCACCACAGGGAACCACCGACACCACAACCACCACAGGAAACCACCGACACCACAACCACCACCACCAGGAGGAGCGGAAGGTCGTCAGCGTCGCCGCCTGCCGCCCCGCCGCCCGCCACGCCGCCGCCCGCCAGAGGGGGCAGGGAGAGGAGGGGAAGGGGGAGGCGAAGGAAGGGGACCGCGTCCCGGAAGGCCCACCCGCCGCCGCGGCCGGCCCTGGACAGGCTGGCTAGATCCTACTCGATTGCGACGCCAAGGCGGCAGGCCACCACACGAACCTCAGCCCGGCGCCAGACCGAGCCCCCGGCCGCATTGCTGATCCACCCTGATTTCGAGGTGACCCAGGGCTGGGCCCCCCACCGAACGGGCGCGACCCGCAGCTGCTCGCCGAGCTCGTGCCGACGCCCGGCACAACGTGGGCACTCGGCCCGAAATGCCGAGCCGAAGCTTGAGCGTGGCCGCCCCCGAACGGGCAGCCACGCGCGCCGCCACCGAGCATGGCCACGCCTGCGGGTGGGCGAGCACACGCCCCCGCCCAGCCAAACCGAAAGCAAGGTACCATCAAAACGACCCGAGGACCACCAGAAGTTGGCCCAAGGCGGCACGCTCTGCGCAGCTGATCGATTCCCCCGATCCCTTCCTCATCGTGGCGCAGGGGGCAGGAGGTCCCCGAGGACGAAGGAGCACCGCCCAGGCGCACTTCCGGAGAGCGTGCTGACCGCGATCGAGCGAGGCGTCGAAAACCCCCCGGGGGGGCGGGGACGGCTCCTGGAAGACCAGGCTCGCGCTTCGCGGCTGTCGTCAGCAACAGCGGCCGCGATCGCCGCCGCCGCCCAAAAAGGTCGAGCCCCGGAGCCAGCCGCAGCCACGCGCCCTCGGGGAGCGGCCCGGACGAGACCGGGCGCAACCCGAACACCCCGGAATGCCCCGAGAGCGCCACCGACAGCAACCGCGAGGCGGGACCCCCCCCGAGCGGCCTTCAGAACGGCACAAGCCGCGCCGAAGACAGGGCGCAGAGAGACTCGCGCGGCATACCATCGCCGAGCGCGTCGCCAGGCGCAGCGGGCGCGGACCACAGCCTGAGCGCGGGCGCGATCAGATCTCGGGGCGGGATCGCGCAGAACGGCGCCGACCATCTGCGTTTAGGGGCGACGCGCATTAAGGCCGCAAGCTCCCGGATCCGCTGCCCGCCTGGGACCGTGCGGAGTCGACGCAACTGCGGGCGGATCTGATCCAGCCCGTCCCGCGGCTGAGGCATCCGGGGCCAAGCCGCGGCATCGCCGACAGCAGCTCGCACCCCTAAGTGCTCAGCGCTCTTAATGCCCGACCAGATCAGACGTTTCCCGAGATTTCCCGAGACGCCGAAACGACAATCGACCTCCGCCGCGATCGCCAAGGCTCGGTCCCTGTCGACCGCCGCATCAGCCTTAAGAGAGCGGTCTTCCGCACAGGACCGCCCGCGAATCCTTGGCACAGAGCGGACCGCGTTGTGCCACGGCTACACGCAAGAGTGACCCTGGGTAAAAGTGACCTTCGGTGCGCGGTTTTTGGGGGGGCCGCGGGGGGACCAAACCTGGGCGCGCAAGCCGCTGCTCCTGCTTCGTGTTCAGCCATCTGGGGACCCATCTGTGCCCGCACCAAAGGTCACTCCGGCGAAAGGTCACTCTTACGTCCAGTCGACAAGGGCCTGGGGAGAAGTACGGCGTGAGGACCCCGCCCGAATGGGGGTCGCCTGGTGGCACGCCCCTCGCGGGGTTCAGGGCGCCAACGAGGTCGCCCCCCACCGAGCAGTAGTTACCTGGGGGTCCGCCCAGCCGCTCGAAGAGCGGCCACCACAGGCGGCGGCGTGCCTTGGTAGGTGAGGGCGGCGCCCGCCACGCCGTGGTCCACCGAGTCGCACGCCCGGCTCAGGACCTCAGCTCCTGCGTCGCCAAGGGCGGCTGCCCAGTCGAGCACGGAGGCCACGGCGCCACGTTCCCCAAACTCCTCGGCAAGGGGCGGGGGGAGCGCGTCGATGAGACACAGGCCCCACGCTCGCATCCAAACCAGCCCGATCGCGATCGGTCGGGTGTCGTCGGGACCCCGCTTCGGAATGTCCGAACGCCCGCAAGCGTTCGTCGGGCCACGGGCTGGCGCGTCCCTCCACCGTAGCAGCGAGGATGGCCCAAAGCTCGCGGAGGAGGTTCGGGCAGTGCTCAGAGAGGCAGTGCAATTCGGCCGCCTCCGACCCGCCGAGCCCGGCCGCACCGCGCGAGACCTGAACGGCTCCCAGGAACGTCTCGAAGGGGGGAGGCCGCCAGGCAGGGTCGGCGGGGACTTCGGGGGCCCTCCACTCATGGGCCACGGACGAGAAGGCCCGCCACTCCTCCTCCTCCTCCTCCTCCTCCTCCTCCTCCTCCTCCTCCTCCTCCTCCTCCTCCTCCTCCTCCTCCTCCTCCTCCTCCTCCTCCTCCTCTCACTTCCCCCCACTGGGCTGGCCGCCGACCCGCTGATCGCGGACCTCCCCTGGGATGCGCTCTGACCAGGATTTCGAGGCGGATCCGGCGGTGGCGGCGAGGATCTCCCAGGAGGCCCAAAAAGGCGAAAACGAGGAACGGGTGGCGGTACGGTCGGATCAAAGACAGAATAACATCCTCCAAGAACATGACATGAGACCCCCTGCCGGCCAACCTGGAGATAATCCGAGGGTGCCCTCCCCAGGATGCACGATAACATCCAAACGCGAAGAAGATTAGACCCTCCCCGAACAGATCTCGATCCTATACCTCGGTCCGACCGTATCCCAGACACTCGGCTGTTCCATTTGTTCGATGCGTGGGTCCCGAAGGTCTGGACCACTTCCCTAGGGCCGGTGTTTCATCCTGAGTCGTTCTTTGACGCTCCCGAGGCCCGGAGACAGCCCCCAGAGCTACGAGACACCCGCCGCTCCATTTTGTTTTGGACCGCCGAACCTCTGAGATGGAGACCTCTCTTCCTCCTCTGAACAGCGGTGTGGCCACTGTTCCGTGCGGGGCGCTCCCGACCCTCCTGCGGGGCCCCACCTCTGAGCCGCCGACATGGGGGGGAAGGGGCGGGCGGGCGGGGGGCTGACGGGCCACTGTTCCAAAACCACCACCGTAGGTAGGACGGGGGAGAAGGGAGGATGGGGAGGTCCTCCTCTTCCTCCTCGTCCTCCTCCTCGTCCTCCTCCTCCTCCTCCTCCTCCTCCTGCTGCTCCTCCTCCTCCTCGTCCTCTTCCTCCTCCTCCTCCTCCTCCTCCTCCTCCTGCTCCTCCTCCTCCTCCTCCTCCTCCTCCTCCTCCTCCTCCGACTCTTGCTCCTCTTCTTCCTCCTCCTCCTCCTCCTCCTCCTCCTCCTCCTCCTCCTACCTATGGCAGTGGTGGTGGACAATCGGCCCATCAGAGGGGGGTGGCGAGGCGCGCGGCTGGCGCAGGCAAAGCCTGGCACTGGGCGCCGGGCAGCACTGCTCAGCACAGCCGCAGAGCCGCGGCTTCCGTTCCCTAAGCATGGCTTGCCGGCCTCCCTGCCAGCACGGCCCCCGTCGGGCGGCGGGCTCTCGCGGCCTGGTGCCCCACGATGCACACCTCGGGGAGAACAGGGTGTGCCGCGAGAGCGGGCAGAGGAACAACAAAATGGCACAAACAGAAACTTCCTGAGCTCCGCGCGGATTCCTTTGATCTTCTCTGAGCCCCCCTTGGCGGCGCCTCTGGCGCCGCCCCTGGCGCGCTCCGCGCGCCAGAAGGGGGATATAGTGCCGATTGAAGAATCCGTGCGGGGCTCCTGCTTCGAGCGGGCGGAGAGCGGAGGACGGAGAGAGGCGCTGGAGGACTGGCCGACTGGCCCTGTGGCGCTGGTGCCAGTTACGTCTGCACTGTATTGGTATGCGCAGAGATGAATGCCCTCTGCGAGCGGCGGCTGCGTGCGCTGCAGGGAAAGGAGGCATGGGAGACGGCAGAGATGGGGGAGGGAACGGACGAACGAACGACCACAACTGAGACCAGGTGGGTGAGGCCGCGGCTTCTGAATGATGCCAGCTACTGTGTCGCGCGAGACACTGGAGGAAGGAGGGAGGGGCGGGACGGCGAGGATGGGGCGAGGAGAAGACATGCGGAGGGTTGGGGAGAAAAGGAGGGGGGGTCCGGTGGCCGGGGTGGCTCTGGCGGGGTAGGGGTACGGGGGGGGAGGTCCGGTGGCGCGGGTTCCGGTGGCGCGGGGGGGGTGTCCGGTCCCCCGTCCCGCCTGTGGACAGGGGGAATTGGGGGAAAACGGGGGGGGGTCCCGTGGCGCGGGTTCCAGCGGCGAGGGGGAGGGGAAAGGGGGGCTTCCTTGGCGTGTGAGTTTGCAGAGGCCTCAGCTACAGCCTCGAGGCGGAGCAACCTCTGGGGGGTTGCCGGGGTGGCTCTGCCGGGGAAGGAGGGTAATGTTTGTCCGTGTGCGCGAGAAAGGAATCGGGGAAAGAGGGAGAGAGAAGTGGAACGGGACAAAAGCGGAGAACGGTGAACAAATGGGGGGAGAAGACGGGAACGGCGGTGAAATGCGCGCCTGTTGTGTGGTGTGTTTGTGCGGTGTGCGTGGTGTGTGTATGTGTATATGTGTATGTGCGTGTTTGTGTGTGTGTTGCCCAGCGTGTGCGTGTGTATGTGCCTGCGAAGGTGGCGCGCGTGTGTGAATGTGATGTGTGTGTGTGTGTCTGTGGGTGTGTAGAGTGTGTGTGTGTGTGCGTGTGTGTGTGTGTGTGTGTGTGTGTGTGTGTGTGTGTGTGTGTGTGTGTGGGTGTGCGTGTGCGTGTGCGTGTGTGCGTGTGTGCGTGTGTGCGTGTGTGCGCGTGTGCGCGTGTGCGTGTGTGTGTGTGTGTGTGTGTGTGTGTGTGTGTGTGTGTGTGTGTGTGTGTGTGTGTGTGTGTGTGTGTGTGCGCGAGTGCGCGTAATGTCTGCGAGCGTGTGCGCGCGTGTCTGTCGGCGAAGTGTCGCCGCCCAGTCTAGGGGGCACCTCAAGAGACCCCGATCGGCGGCACTGGCCGACGGCCACTACAATGGATTAGACTCGTGCCCGCGCAGAAACAACACAAAACATATCTATAGATTCCTCTTCCTATATTTTTATAAGCCCAGGCGGGGGGAATCCCCCACCCCCCCAAAACTGGACTCCTGGGATCTGGGGCTTTTGGACCCTCCTGACGGGCCTCGAAGCGCCCCCCCGGGCCTCGCAGGGCGTTTTGCCAAGCCTTCCCAGCACACCTAGGGCGATCGGGAGGGTCATCGGAGACGTCCCAGAAACCCCCCAAGACAGCACAAGAGCGCTCCAAGAGTGACCGACGTGACCTAAAGATGGCCCAAGAGGCCTCCAGGACTGCCCCAAAGAGGCCTCCAAGAGCACTCCCAAGAAGGCCCCAAGAGGCAAAAATCATGATGTTTTGTTTTTGTTGTGAATTTGGGGGCTCTCCTCTTTTCGGCTTCCCGACGCTCCAAGACGGCGGTCTTCTGGGCGTCCGAAGAAGCCTGGGAGGATTCCAAGTCGCCCCACAACCATCCGAAATGGCTTCCAGGCAGTCCAAGAGGAGCCCCAAAACGGCACAACACGGGTCCAAGGTGGCCCTCAGAGAGCCCCATGGCGGCCCAAGATGGCCCCCAAACACCCTCCGAAGCATTCCAAATCGAGACGCGGTCGTTCAGGGAGACCGCGGTTGGAGGCAGGGTGGCCCGAGGAAGCCGCCAGAGGCCGACAGAATACGCCCAGGAGGCCTCCAGAAGGCCCTAAGAAAGCCTGGAACAGCTTTTGTGAGGCCCTCAGAGGCTCTCCAAGGAGGAGCCTCCACAAAAAAGAGCTGAGGAGGATGGGGAGAATGCGCAGGGTATGGCGAAAATGAGGAAAAAGAAGCATGGAGGAAGGATAACGCATAACATGATTATAGCGGCGACGCCAGAAAAGGCAACAAGGAGTTATCGCTAAGTTGTCGGCTTGACCTTCCTGCTATTCCGCCTATACATGCCGATGTCCAAGGACCAAAGTGCATGGCGCGAAAGGCCACTGCAGCCTTGTATATATATATATATATAATTATGTATATAATTATTGAAATAAGAAGGCGTCTCGAAATACATTGGGATCTGGGAGTCCAGACCTTCTTTCAACGACTGGCGTGTATCCAGTGGCGCCGACGGTTCCTGTCTTCCCGGACATCCGACTGCTCCGATTTTTTGGATGCGTGGGCCCGGGAGGTCTGGACCACTTCCCTGGGGGCGGTTTTTCGTCCTGAATCGTTTTTCGACGCTCCCGAAGTCTGGAGAAGGCCCCCAGAGCTCGAAAACTGCAAGAAACCTGCCGCTCCAATTTTTCTGGAACGTCGGATCCCTGGGCTCGGAGAAGCTCCCCGGCGAATGCGTGCAATGCCCGCCCATGAGCTTTTTCGTTCCCATCCCAGACCCCCGACATCATGACTTTTTGACGACGTCGACCCCGAGGAAACTCGACCCCTTCCCCGGGACCGGCTTTTCCTCCCGAGTCGGTTCTGACGCCCCCTCGGCCTGGCACGGGCCTCCAAGAGGCCGACACAAAAAAAAACGTCGTGATTTGTTCATGACTCGAGGGGGTCGGGGATCGTTGAAGGGGCCCTGGGACACACAAATAAATGCACACAAATAACCAGATTCCCCACATTTCCCCATATGTTCTGGGTTCTGTCTTCCCCCCCACCTCCCATATTTTCCCATATTTTCTGGGGAATCGAGGATGAATCGTGCCTGTGTGTTTCTTTTCCTCCTGATCGAGGGGGTCGGGGATCGTCGCCTCCGACCTCACGCCGCCGCTGCCGCGGCGGCGGGGTCGGCCGCCGGGCCCCACGGATCCGGGTCAGGAAGGCGTCAGTGGCTGCGGGTGCGCCCCGTCTCGGCGCTCCCGGCGGAAGATGCCCAGGCGCAGGTGCCTGGCGGTGGCGGCCGGGTGCTCCGCTGTTGGACGCCTACTCCAGATTTCGTGATAAAGGGAGGGGGGTCTCATTTCGGGGGGGGGGGTCTCTTCCAGGCTATCTTGGAGGGCCTGGGGGGGTCTGGGGACGGTGTTTTGGAGGGTTCTCCCACGGGGGAGGTCTGAAATGGCTTGTCTTGGAGGGTCCAGACCCCCTCCCTTTTATTACGAAATCTGGAGTACACAATCGGACCTAGGCCAGAAGAGCCTCCTTCAAAACCATGAGACCCGCCGCCGGCCAAAGCACCCCAACCCCTGAGATCATTCGAGGGTACCCTACCCCCAAGATGCACGAGAACATCCAACAAACACAACGAACATTAGGGTACCATCCCCGAGCCAACCTCGATCTTATACCTCGGTCAGACTGCATTGTAAGACGAAGCCAGACGAGGATAAATCCGGCTGAGCGTACATCGAGAGCCTCTGAAATCTGGCGGTTCTAAGGGATGTCTCGGGCGCCGCGGCCTTCTCAAAGGCTCCAGAACACTCTGAGAGCGCTATAGCAGAACGCTCGGAACCGGACCACCTTAGAGAATCCAAGGCTCGCTAAAGACTGGTTTCCTTTCGAAACAGCCGAAACCTTCCCAGAACCCTCCGAAAACCATCCGGGACAGGCTCTGGGAGGGTTTCCGGAGGGTTTCGGGAAGGTTTTGGAAAAGTTCTCGTCGTTTTGAAAAGGAAACCAATCCCCAGCGAAGCGAACCTTGGGCTTTCTGAAGTTATCATCGCCCTAGCCCAGGCCCGACAGTACGGCCAGGACGATGGTGAAGCCAGCTGACTTGTAGAGGCCTCCTAGATGGGGTCGGAGTAGATGGGGTCGGAGGATCGCGCCGCATCGCCGATACATCGGCGATGCATCGGCGATGCATCTGCGATGCATCGGCGATGCACCGGCGATGCATCGGCGACGTCGGCGATGCATCGGCGCCGTCGCCGTGAAGCGAATCGGGCTCCGCATCGAGCCGCATCGGCGATGCCTCGGCGATGCGGAGCGATCCTCAGACCCCATCTACTCCGACCCCATCTAGGAGGCCTACGGCTGGCCTTGATTGGACAGGAAACGCGAGAGGACACAAGACACTTCCGAAGGCCACGTCGCCATAGGAGTGTAAGATGGCACGTGTCTCGAGGCACAGGACACAAGGGTACCCTTGAGCTGGCAGGGTCGACCTAC